GAAAATGTATTGGTGATTTTCTGACAGTATAATTTTAAGGACATTTCTGTAAACCCTAAAACACAACAATGAAGTGCATAATACAAAATAAGGGTAAAACTAAAAAATCAATACGGAAAATTCCTTCATATTAATTCCTTACACTGTGGTTATGTTTTTTCTTTCTTTCTTTTTTTTTCTTTACAGTGTACATAATTTCCTTGGAAGTTACTTAAACCATTTTAAAGGGACGGTACGGCCAAAAATTCTGTCATCATTTACTCATGTCATTCCAAACCTGTTTGACTTACTTTCTTTTATGGAACACAAAATAAGATATTTTGAAAAATGTCCATAAAAGGAAAGCCAATGGGGTTCAGTGTTGTTTGGCCCCAACAGTCTTCAAAATATCTTCTTGTGTTTTGCAGAAGAAAGTAAGTCATGCATACTTTGTTTAGCTTGCTTTAGGTATTATCTACATTCAGTGGTGAGGGTGGAAAATTATTGAAAAACCTGTTACTAATACGAATACTGCTTTTTAATGATGTTTCACTTAAATAAACTGTCTTGTCTTGTAAAACAATAAAGGATTAATGATCAGAACACATCAGATTGAGTTATTGTCATTTTGATCATATTCACAAGCACAAAATTAGTGTGAAATCCATGCATTTTCCAAGCAACTTGTCCTACTGTATGTAGGGTTGTGGGAATGCTGGAGCCTATTGGATAAAATATACTCTCTTTCTTTTTTATGTTTTTTTTTTTTTAAAGCAAGGTGTACTAAGAAAGTACAATAGCAGATAATAAATAAAAGCAAAATAATCAAACAACAAAGTTGGCTAAGTAAAGCATAGAATATATCTATAGAATAAAGAAATTGAAATTGTTAGAAAAAACTGTTAAATCAACAAAATGTTCTGAGGCATATGCTGATTAAATTAAATTAGTAATTTTGTTTTAAACAAGCAAAAAATATGTATTTGATATATCAGTGTATTATTTTAAGCAATATTAAAGTACAAGCATAATGAAATTTACCACCAAATCAAACTGAATAAATTTTTTTTTATTTAATCATAAGCTCTTAAATATAATATGATATCTTTAATGGTGTTTTTTTTTAATAAAATGTATTTTATATGTGATAATCAGCTACATAAATCTGCAACATTTTAAAAATGTAATACATGTTAAATTAAATTATTTGATATGACTTGTAATACATTTTTAAAATGCTATTATACCACAATCTACTTTTTGTATTCTTGCATGTGATTTTGCATAATTTTGACCGATGTTTAAGGAAATGTTGTGATGGGGTACAAACAGAAAATTTATCTCAACACATGACCTGACAGATATTACAGCCACACCCAAACACACTGAGAAGTCCATGTTTACATTGAAAAAGCTTTAACGAAAGCTGAGAACGTAAATTTAAATGTGCTGAATGTTTTCTTATGTATGGAAGTTTTCTCATCTAAAATGAATAGATAAAACAGTTTAGATGACATTTTTAGATTGGTCCTACTGTGGTATGACTGAGTGACAGAGCTGAAAACATTCAGTGGTCAAAGGATTTTTCTCTTGCAAATTAACTGTAGAAAAAAAACTCCACCCAAAAACTTCCTTAAACATCAGTCGCTATGCAAAATTACGTGCGTGGGCAGAAAAGTTTTATTAAGGTATACCAACATTTATAATAATGATAAATTATTAAAATTAGGATTTTATCTAACATGTAATACATTTTTTAAATGTTGCAGACTGATTATCACATACAAAATACAATTTCTTAAAAAAATTTATACCACTAAAAACATCATACTGTGCTTAAAACAAAATACCTGTAAACTATTTAAGAGCAAATGATTAAATAAACAGAAAATTGATTCAGTTTGCTTAGGTGGTTATATTCGTTAAGCCTGTATACTGAAATATTGCTCAGACCATCATGTTGATTTAAAGGGTTAGTTCACCCAAAAATGAAAATTAGCCTGTGTTTTACTCACCCTCGAGGCATCCTAGGTGTATATGACTTTGTTCTTTCAGACGAATCCAATCGGAGTTTTATTAAAAATGGTCCTGACTCTTCTAAGCTCTATCATTGTAGTGGGCGGGTGTTTCTGTTTAACAGTCCAAAACACGTTAAATAAAGCGCGCACATCCATAATAAAACGTGCCTCACACGGCTCCGGGGGGGTGAATAAAGGCCTCCTGTAGCGAATCCATGCATTTTTGTCAGAAAATATCCATATTTCAAATGTCATAAACACTTTTCTATCACTTCCGGTATCTCTGTCATACGAGGAAGCCGTTCCGGTGGATGACGTAAGACATCGGCGTTGCGTGATTAGTGACGAGCGCGGAAAGAGAACAAAACAAAACGCTGGTCACGAATTAGAAGCACAAAACGAGCATTTGTAAAATACGCATACGGCTTCCGCATACGACAGTCAACAGAAGTGAGAGAAAAGTGTTTATTACATTTGAAATATGGATATTTTTCTTACAAAAATGCATGGATTCGCTACAGGAGGCCTTTATTCACCCCCCTGAGCCGTGTGAGGCACGTTTTATTATGGATGCACGCACTTTATTTAACGTATTTTGGACTGTTAAACAGAAACACCTGCCCACTACAATGATAGAGCTTAGAAGAGCCAGGACAATTTTTAATAAAACTCCGATTGGATTCATCTGAAAGAAGAAAATCATATACACCTAGGATGCCTCGAGGGTGAGTAAAACCTAACCCTTTAACAATTTTTTGAACCTTTTTGTCTACACTCTAAAAAATAATTCAGTGGTTTTGTAAATATCACAATAATAAATAACTTATCTAACTTAACAAAATCTCTGAATATCACTAAAGAGATTGTTTGAGTTGGACATACCAAAATAAATGACTAAATTTCCAACATTTAACTTTGTCTAAAATTTTGTCTATTATTTAAGTTTTTTTCACAAAAACAAACAAGTATTTGACTCCAAATTAGATTTTTGACTCAGTATTTTTGTTAAATTTCAATCAAAATATTTGAGAAGCAGTGGTGTAATGTAACGAAGTAATAATACTTTGTTACAGTACTTAAGTATTTTTTGGGAGTATCTGTACTTTACTTGAGTTTTTATATTTCAGCCAACTTTTACTTTTACTCAGGGACGGACTGGGAGTAAAAAACGGCCCTGGATTTTCTCCCAAATAAGCCCACCACAACTACAAGAAGTCGCTACTATCTCACAATATTACAGCAATCCTATCGCATTTATGGCAAATAACATCACAAAACCCATGGTGACCCTGCTGACAAAAACAATAGAAACCATCACAGAAATTTGAATGATTTCCACTACCATTACAGACATTACAAACCATCAACTTTTAACCATTAAAACCATTAAATAATGGTTTCCCGAAGTGTGTTTTGGGACATATTACATTAGGATTTAGTGGTTTTAACAAAAGCCACCAACAGAAGGCGACCAATTACCAGTAGAGACCAACAGTTTCCATTAAAACCAATAAAATTATCATTATAACCAGTAAAACTATTACAAATTATGTGATGGTTTCTATTTTTTTTCAGCAGGGGATTGAAATAAATGTATTATTGTAACTAAAATACTTGAAATCTACATAAAAAGAGCAGAATGCAAAATGTATTATATGACAATGATAAACATAAACCTAGAATCTAGAAACCTGAAACAACAGAATTCGTCCATTTGAGTATTCATATGTCTGTCTACCTGTCTCTGTGTGTGTGTGTGTGTCATGTTAATCAGACTAATCATATTATAGGCAACTTAAAGGCACAATATGTAATTTTCGCCACTAGAGGGCGCGTATTCAAAATAAACAAATAGACAAAGGCGTAGTTAGATGACGCCGTGACTGAGTGTGGAATCATGGGAGTTGTCGTCTTCATCCCCACAGCCGATGCAATCCAACGGGACTCGGGCAGAAATCATGTTCATGGATGAGCTAATGATTTATTAAGGTAGTAGAATGAAGCAGGGTGAGGCTGAAAGCCGTCGAAGAGAAACGAGGCCGCTGAACGAGCGTGACACACAGCTAGATAGCAGCAGAGCTTTTATTATGCCACAGTCGACCGCTTCCGCTCCTTCCGGTCGTGCATATGTGGGGTAAAGCAGCGCTGTTTTATCATACTACGTCTGAAAGTTCTGTTATGATGCTACTCTGTGCGGTCGTCACCGGTCTATTAAAACGCACAACATATTACACAATGACACTATGGACACGGTCTGTGTCACTAGTTAAAATTGCTTATTTCTCTGGATTTAAAAATTCTTACACAAGTCAGCAAAATATATAACACTGTTCTAGTGGTTTTTGGATATTTTAATAAAAAAATCTTACATATTGTGCCTTTAATTTACTCTATTTTCTAACTCAGTATTTCTCAAATGTAACCCGTTGTAGAATCGCTGTTGTCTCTTTATGAATGATTTATGAATGAATGGAATATTCATGTCAGACAATGCGGAGTAAAAAAATAGCAGTGAACATTCGGACTAGGGGTGTCCTGGGATTTTTCTATAGTGCTATTGGCTACATGCTCTGTATAGTGAGATTAGCGGGCAAAGGTGACCTGATGTAACTGTTTGCTTTTTTTCTTTTTTCTTTTAGCTTCTATTCGTTACTTACTACAAAATAGTCAGAAGTCAGAAGAACACGGACTGCAGGAAAGCAGGTTTGACTTCTATCAGCATTCTATCAGTTATCATTGACCCTGCTCTCTAGAGATTGGCAATCAAACACACATCGTCAGATAGTTAATTACATATTTTAGTAGTGTGGAAGTAGTTCAGCTCTTTTCAAATTATTGTAATCCTCTGACTAATGTATAATAGATAATAATGCCCTTTGATTAACAGTAATAGATTGAATACATTTCATGTCTTATACACGCAGTGTAAGCTTTATTGAAAATAAACCCAGAAAAAAGTGTAAAGGTGATTTTTATATTTTATTTCATTAAATGCGTAGGGCTATATATTTCTTTCGATTAATCCGATTTTGTATAACTTTTTTAATTTATCACACCAAATCAAAGATAGTACAGAGGTGATACAAGCTATATGAGTTGAGTAAATATTCAGTGAATATAAAGTAATTCATTTCAAAACGTTAATTTTGTGTAGACCATAAATATATTGCAATTACCGGTAGTATATCATTTTAAATTCATCATACCAAATCAAAGACAGTACAGAGATAATACAACTATATGCTTGTAAAGCACATCATATTGTGTCTTTGCTGCTGCTGTAGAATGTGAAGAGCTGCTGGATTCAGTGCAGCAGGATGAAGGAGAGCAGAGAACAGCAGAGGAACAGGAAGCTCTGAGTGACGCTCTGAGCACCGTTACACAGGTTCCCCTCACAACATGAGACATCATTCACAGTAGGAATCAAGTTTGGGACATCACAAATAGATTTAGAGACACAACCTTTAACAGCCACTGGTTGACCTCCGAAACTCGCTGAAGAAAAGATTAAAGAAGAAAACAGTTTGAGTCAGAGTCAAGTTGGCCACTGGTATATGTGATGTGTGTAAGATAATGAACCTTCTTCCTTTACCAGATTCTCACCTGTTGCATTAAAGCAGCGGTCTTCACTCCCTGAACAGCTCACTGTGTTTAAGCAGCTCTGTCCATCACAATAGTAACACGTCTTTCCATTGGGAGCGTTAGTGCCGAGATCTACAGGAGGGAAAATAAGTCCTGGTTTTATTGAGCACACAACATTGTAGGTCCTCATTGTAAAACTTTTTTGTCTTCCCGGTCTTTCGTGAAAAAGTAACAATTCGCTCTGCCTGTCAAACATTTGTTTTTGTTTGACGTCACAAAATAAAGTTACATCCGATTTTTTCTTGTTAAATGTTCTATAAACTGCTCTATTACAGTAAAGTACAATACCTGGAGCATCTTGCGCATTACAGAGATCAGTGTTACAGCACAGAGAAGAGACACTTCCAATGCCAAGGTTGATGGATCCATTTGGACAGACAGCTGGAGCACAACTTTTAACCTTCACTGTAGTACTGTTGACTGAAAACACACGAGTGATTTGCCAACATAGAATGTGTTCCCAATAGTGTATCTAAAGTATTTTTTAGAGATCTAACAATGAGGTCCAAAGGTGTAAGACCACTAGAAAATATGCTTTACATTTAGTGTTTTTCTCATTTCACACTCATTTTTAAATTTCAAATTCTATTATCATAATGAATATATGTAGAACATTCTAAGCGTGCAATTGTAAATTCTGTCCAGAAAAGAAGTCAGTCAGCTATGAGTACATTACACTGGACTTACCAGTAATTGTTGCACCGAAGCAGTTGATAGATTCAGTGGGACACTGACTCGTCTGGTCACAAGAACCCAACACACTTATGCAGTCATAACAGCTGAGAGAGTGCCCTTTAGTAATTAAAAAGAGAGTCGGTGAGAGAGAGACATCTTATTTGTACCCAGTAACATTACAGAAACTATTTGTTTTGTACCTCTGGTAAATAGAACGAACAGAAGAAAAACTGAGATTTGCAGATCCATCTTTGATCAGGAGGTGAATGAGATAACGTGTCTGTTTCAGCACTCATTTTATAGCTCGTCAGATGGGGAAATTTCACCCAAAAAATGAGCATCCTCTCATTTTCTCACCCTTATGAAATTACAAACCTGTATGACTTATATACTTTCTTTTGCGTTCCATGCATTTACATGCAAAGTGGTCCAATGTTGTTCATACAGGTCTAACCCGTTTAGGTTTTGATTTAGTTTTTTTAACAAGTTATAGTTTAATAAAATTTTGTATTTCCTCAATCTTCTACAGTGTCTTAATCTCAATACACAAATGTTTATGGTATGACCAACTTTAACATTATTGTCGAAACCATGTAGGCCAGTAATAGTTCCCATTATCTTTCACTCACAGAGACTGTTTGTCTTGAAATTTTAACGAAACCCATTAAATGACAAAAATTATTAAGGAATTCGAATTTAGGAGGAATTAGTAGGAAACAGCATGGGTGTTTTTAAAGTCATTTATTGTCATGTAATTTTTTCTTAAAGGTAATCCACATGAAAACTCAACTTAAATTTGACACAAGACCAAAGAACAAATCAGACTGTCATTTAAGAGTAAGTCTACTATGAAATTAATAAAATTTTTGAGCACTTCACTAAAATTTGAGTGTAAACGAACATCACCCTTGTGGAAAAGAAGTTCACGTTAGCACAATTTCAAAAAGAGTACTTATTATGTAAATAACATACTTTCAAAATAAAGTACTGTACAAACAGAATGTATTTTTGGTTTTGCATGTAAACTGGAATCAAATGCATATTTATGATATTTTAAATGTATATTAAATGCAATTAGTATACAATTAAAAAATGTAGGCAGAAAGTTTTTTTCTCTTTTTTTCAGTGTTCTAAAAGTTCTATTGAAATTTGAATTGCTCAGTGCCAGTAAGACAGTGATTCTGAGGTTTGTTCTATTCTGAGCAAGCCTCAGAGTGTCACCTTTCAAAAGACACCAAAACCATGCATATACTCCAAGTGGTTTAAGAACAGCATGCAATTTACTTTGGGTACATTTTACAGGAATGCTAAGGGGTTAAACACATACTGTACTTCCTACTTCCTTGCTACTGTCAAGAATGTCATGTAGAAAAGTAACATTCTTGTAGATCAGTTTCAAAAAAAAAAAAATGTTTATGGAAGTCAACAATAATTTGAACCAGGCACATAACACTGATAAAAATGATTTTGTGGTGAAGTAAAGGCTACTACGGAAAAACAAATGTAATTTCTACATTAAATAATTTAGTTCAGACAAGAATAATAAAAGAGTAAATTCTATTATAAGTACTTATTGGAATTGTTTGTTATTGTCACGATCTCACTACTACACAAGCTCCACTAGAGGGCACTCCATCCTGTACCTTTGCCATTCAACCCAGACTGTTGTCACTCCCTCGCTACTACATTCCCCATAATCCTTTGCCTGGACTCATTATCTCTGATTGCATTCACATGTGTCTTATCTCATCTGTCTCACCCTATTTAAAGCCTGGTTTGTTACCTTGTTTCTGATCGTTTGCTGCCTGCCTTGACCTTTGCCTGTTTATTTGATTACTCTTTTGTCTCTTTCTGGATTATACCTGTTTGCTGTTGTTTGACCCTGCCTGTTTTGACCATTCTGTTAAATAAAGCATGCACTTGGATCCTCAACTCCGTTGTCACGCCTCCACGTTACAGTTATGTTTACAAGGATTCTTTAAGTAAATATCAGAGTTATGATCCCGTTGTTCCCATCATGCGCAGGGGCATGAATAATTAAGGATAAATTATACAGTGCCTTCGAGTTGTATTTACAGTTTTATGGTTGCTTTTGTTGTTAGGTTTAGTAACGTCTAGGTTACTTGTGTAACCCTCATTCCCTGAAGGAGGGAACGGAGACGTTACGTCAGTGACTGACGAATTG